AATTCCATGACTTTTGATGCAGTCTCTATGACTCATAAACTTTGCTCATACTCTTTTCTGGATCTACTGAACGTTTTTAGTTCATGCACTCTGCTTGTTTAGCTTATACAAGAGTTTTTCTAAAATCTCGTGGTTTTCACGTAGTTACTATTTTGCTGTTTGTTCAACATGTTTTTCTCAGCGCGTCAAGTTGCACAAGTCATTTATATCGTAATAAGCTTTGAATTTCTGCAAAAGTCAATCTGTTTGATTCTGCTTGTTATCTGTATAAGAATTACTTTTGTGTGCTATATTCATGCAAAACATTACATAGTCGAACTTTTTCTTTAAAAGTATCGTAGATAACTACGCAACGATAATTATTCATTAAAAAAAATGATTTACGAGCAGAAAATTTTGATGTCCATCTGCTATTAGAAAAATATTCTTTGTCTTAGCTTGATGTTGACTTCTTTTACAAAAAGATTTATATTTTCAATGGAACATGGAGCGCACTTAAGGGGGGACTTTTTTATTTTTGTTTTTTATTTTTCATTTTCTTAAGGGGAGACTCCCCCAGGTTTTTACATCATATTGTAGCTCATGTCGACTTACATGTATGGTGAGACATTTTCAACCTCCAGGACACGTTCTTCTCATTTCTTTTTAACTTTTAAAACTTTACAGAAATTTATGAGTTTTTTCCTAAAAGGTCATTGCTCATAAAAGAAGGACGTTCTAACGATAAGACTAGCTCCGATCGATCGAGGAGATCGAACTGCCCATATGATGAAATTACTGGGAACTTTGAATGAAGTTCGGTTAACAAAAAGTTTGTTTTTTCTTAAATGTTGATTTTTCCGAAAACTAGTGTTTTTTAAGAGCTTTGCCACTGATTGTGGCTCAACGAAACCCGATGGAGAAAAACTTTTGCTGACAAAAGTTTTCCTTAGGTGCCAAATGGGGTACTGAGTGAAATACTTTTTTAGTGTAACAGAAAAATTTTGGGAAAAATCAGATTTAAGAATTTAAAATCATTAAAAAGCTTAAAACTCAAAACTTCTCAAAATTTTTCCATTACAATGGAAAAAGTATTTTTCGGAGCCATGGGACTGCTATATGCTTAGTTCTGGGACCTTCTGAAATCATGAAAACATAGATCATCGAACAAGCTGAATCTCGTGGCAATGTTAATTTTCAAACGAAAGTGCAAGAACGGAGTGAAAACTTAGGCGAAATTATCTATTTTGGACTATTTTCATCGAAAATTGAAAAATTCATAACTAAGTCAAAATCTTATTCTTTCGAAAAGCAAATAAACAGTTTTGTAGCTTTTTCTAAAACACCTTAAATGCGATCATAACTAAAAACGATTGTCGATCAAAGTACATTAGAATCACGTTTGTATAAGTAGTTTTGATTAAGCAGTTAAACTTTTAGAGAAAGGCCCAGTCATTAAATTTTTTGCTAAAATTTTATCTTAATTAATTTATAATTCTGTGTGAATACTTATCGGCTCTCCGAAAACAATGCAAGATATACGCAGTCAAGTATTCTCTACAATCTCAGAAGGTTTAATCGTACCTTTTGTGGGGATCCGCTTCCTCTGAAATAAAATAGATCAAGGCTTCATGACTGAGACCGCTTTTTTTTATGATTATCAATTAGAGTTAAAAAGCGGTCTCAATCTGAAAGTAAAAATTTTATAATAGAAAAAGCGGTTCCAGTTTGGAATAGAAAGTTTATTCTTTTCACATACTTTGTACGCTGTTTATAATTTCGAATCATTCTGTAATTGAGAATGATTGGCTATTGTAGACACAGAAACTGATTGAAATATTTTTCAAAATTGATGCTTAAAACGAAATTGAGCTGAGAATGACATTGTTGGATCGGGTGAGACTATAAAAATGAATGACATTACCTTAGAACACATTATCTCAATTCGATTTCCTCTATTATATCTCCAACTCTACACTTTTCTCATGTCAAAACTGAAAAAAAACTAACATGATATATTATATAAAAGTTGCTTATATCCTTTAAGGCGCTCAGATAAAAACGGAACTAAAAAATGGGTCTGTACTAGTAATTCTTGTTTGTGTTCATTAACAATAAAAGATGAAGTTATAATTGGTAGAATTACTTCAATAGAAGCCTGGATTTAGAAGCTTATCAAGCAAACATTACGATCATTAAGTTACCATTATATAATTGTGTTAGATAATGATTCTAATTTTAAAGATGATGATGAGTATGAACCTAAAATATAACTGTCCTGTTTGTGGTATTACTTCTATTGTAATATATTTGTTTGTCTAAAGTAGCGAAGCATTCCTAATTACAGAGTGATTCAAAATTATAAACAGTGTACAAAGTATGTGAAAAGAACAAACTTTTTATTCCAAACTGACGAGGGAACGTTCCCAACTGATAAATAGTTTTCGGGCTAAAACCTAGTGGACCATAGGTAGTCGACCATGCTGATTCCGAATATCAACACGAGTCGTGCTGCTAGGCCTTCAGAGGCTGGTTTTTATAGAAAATCAGTTTTCCAGAAATTCCAGAAAATCTCTGAAACTTTTCTTAGTAAGTCATGTTTGTAGCGCGCGAAATTTTGATTAAAATGAGACATCCCCAGTTCTGTATGACCTTTCTTTGCAAAGTTATAGAATTTATAAGAAGAGCCCTAAATTCCTTTTTCCTTTTTCTTTCTATATCTCTGAGCTGACACTGAACATTCTGGTTTTCTATAAAACCAGTCTCTGGAGGTCTAGCAGCACGACTCATGTTGATATTGGGAATCAACATGGTCGACTACCTATAGTCCACTAGGTTTCGGTCCGAAAGCGATTTATCAGTTGGGAACGTTTCATCGTGAGACCACTTTTTTTACTACAAAATTTTCACATCCAGATTGAGACCACTTTTTAAATCTAATTAATAATCATCAAAACAAACAAGTGGTCTCAATCATGAAGCAGTCAAATAGATTATTTTTCAAGAGTTTCAATGATTTGATTAAATTTTGACGGAATTATGCTAAATTTTGTTTTTCTTGTAGCTAATGTTAGACTATTTTCTTCAAAATGTATTATCATTCTCGTTTTATTTTGAAAATAATCGTTGATATGAGATTGAGAGCAGAGATGAGCAACTCCTCCTAAGTTCGACTTCAACTAAGCTCCAACTCCAATACCGACAGGAACTTAATTTGAGAGAACCAGACGAACTACATGTTACCATTTGAAGTATTTTTTAATTTTACAGAGATATCAGCGGTTATAACAATACACGGTGTGGATAAATGGGCAAGAATAATCCAGTGCGTTGACATAAGGTTTCGTTTTCTTTTCTGTGTGTTTCTTCCAGATCATTCTTCTATAATGTCAATTCAGAGAGAACAGGTAATTCTGTAGACGTGGGAGAACAGATGATAAAAAAATAATACAAAAGAAATAGACATAGGAAGAGACTTGTTTCGATCAATCCTAATGTGATCACTGCAGAAAGCAGTGAAATGCAAATTTTTAACTGAATTTGTGGAGTTGAAAAATTTTAACTCAACTCAACTCTAATCTAATAAAAACGCAACTCCAATTCCACTAAAAAGAAGCTCAGCTTCGGAGTTGGAGTTATCCATCTTTGATTGAGAGTGTTCGATAATTTCTGTTTTTAGTTATTCTCGATGTATGATGAGTTAGATATAGTTATTTCACAAAAATGCTTTTTCTCCACAGACCATATGAGACATGAATTTCGAAATTGAGCAGCGTTACAAGTTGAAAAATGCTCTTACTAGAATCAAAATAGTCAAATTTTGCTACAATAAAGAATATTCCCATGTGTTACCGTTATCATCCCGAAAATAAATAATCTTAGTTTTCAATACAAACGTTGTTGGACTCGAAAAACTGAATTTTACCTGAAAAACTAAGAATTTTTGAAAACCTATAACTCAACTCTGGTAAATATGTACATTTTTGTGCACTCATCATAGATGCAAGATATGCTGCCGAATATTTTAATGCGATTTTGAGTCAGATTAAAGCATTGAAAACTTTTGAAAACTGACTGTAGTGAAAATCTCTTTTTCTGGAAACACCCGTCTAATAATAAACACCCGTTCGGAAAATAATCTTTTTATTTTAACCCTTTCAGGCCGGGTAGCTGTGAGAAGTGAGAGAATGTTTTTTCTCTTGAAATGGGTTGAAATGATGATCACTTCTCCAATTAAAATTTCCATCTTCTTCATCTGACGACGAGCTTGTATCACCATCTTCTTTCTGATCATAGTCAATATTAGCAAATATTTCATTGATTTCTAAATCTTGATCCATTTTTATCTGAAAAATTCACAAAAAATATTTGAATCACTCCTAAAAATTTTCACTGGCTTGTAAAATCAAACTTTTTTTTCTTTATTTTTCTTTACTATTTGTGTCACAAAAACACTGAAAAGAGTAGCTGAAATATGTTACATAATATTTTTTAAAAATATTTTATTAAAAAAAGTCAAAAAAATTCGATTTTTGCACACAAATTTGACCTATTTAAACTGAAAGGAAAAACTTCTCTTTTTGCGTTTTAAGTGAAGGCCTAACAAGCTTTAAATATTTGTCAAAAGATGATACTTGCATCGTATAGTTTTCCTAAAAAAGGCACTGGGATATATATATCCCACCCGGTCCCAAAGGGTTAAATCATTAAGTTCAGATGAACAGATTTTTTTTATGGATAGACAGCGCGAAATGTTTAGATCCTGAATATATAATAATTTTAAATTCAAACCAATTTCATTCATTACAAAAAATGTTCTTTCTCAGAGTTTGACTAGTATTTAGCCTCTTTTTTAGTAATAAAATTTTCCCTAAACATTTAAGGAAGAAATAAATAAAATATTCATAAGATCAAATGTATCATCGTAAACTGAATAATTTGATGCTAAAAAATAATAAAAAAAAATGAGGATTAGTCTTTAAAGGTTCAACTAACAATTTCTGTAGGAACAAAATATATACTTAATAAGTTTCATCTTCATCGGAACTGTCATCACTATCTTCTGATAGTAGATCGATATCTGAATATTTTTCTTTTAAATAATCATAAATTGTCATTCTATTTAATGACTTTGCTAATTCACACGGTGTCATAATATAATTAACTTTTTCACCATTTAAATGAATATCATCGATTAAATATTTTATCATTGATAAATTATCATCATTTCTTATCGCCATATGAATTAGATTATCACCCGTCAATTTATCATATACATTTACATCAAAATTTCCATTTGAAATGAATAATTTAACACATTGAAGATTATTATTTTGAACAGCTAATTGTAAAGGTGTAAACTGATCAATATTTTCTTTATTAAATATTTCACATATATTAATTGATTTTTCATTTAAATAATTTAGAATAAATTCAATTGTCTCATATGATTTATCATTGTTAAGCTTTGTTGATGCTAATAAATGGAATACATTATTTTTTCGATAATCCAAATCGTATACGAGATTTAAATGTCGTTCAAGTAACTGTGCAATTAAATCTTTATTATTTAATTTTGCACATATTAATAATATTGTTTCACCTTTTCCATTTTGTTGTTTCAATGTGTCAATTAATAATACTTTAATCAATTGTTTTATCAACATTAAATTACCGTTTAAAATTGCTTGTTCTAACAGATCATCGTCATCACGATGAATCAATAAACGTGTACATCGAAATAATGATGTAGGATCATTTTTCGATATAAAATCGTCTAATGCTAAACATAAGTTTTGTATAAACGTATATTCATTTTCAATTGTATTTTCTTTGCAATCTAAAATAGATAAATAAAAAACATGCATGGTTACAATAATGTGATAAAATGGAGAATACTTAAAATTATTATTTGTTCTTGGTTCTTCTACTTTTGTAATCTAAATTAAAGAAAGAAATATAACAGTCAAAAGACACTCTTATACAGTAAATGAAAGGTATAACGAAGTTTCATTAAAAAAACTTTCATTAAAAGAAAGTTTATTAAAATTTTTAATGAAATTCTTGTGCCATCAAAAACTCTAGGTCACAGCCATTTTACAGGAGAAATTTTAATGAAAATTCTGATACTTTCATCAAAAACATATAAACATAACGGGCAAAAGACACTCTCATACAGTGATCTTTAACTTTTTTCTTTTTTCATCTTTCTTCTCAATCACAATAGCTAGAACGTCTGAAAAAGGTCTGAATAGCTGAAAGAGTTTCCTGTCTGAAGAGGTGTGCATGAGCATCAGAGTTTTCAGAAACACGGCTGTGAAAAACCAGATGCTAGAGTTCAATCAATCAATTTTTTGTAGAAATAGCTCGTTTGGCATGCATCATACATTTCCGAACTAAATGAGACATCTCTCACCTCTCCATAACCTTTTTCAGCAAATTCCATGCAATTTATGAAAGCTTAGAAGGCTTATTGACCATGTTTCTTGTTCATTTTGCTGGTTTATACGGTCTGGGATCTTTCATAAATTAAAGTTTGCTGAAGAACGTTATGGAGAGGTGCGAAATGTCTCATTTGCTTCCGAAAATGCATAGGATAGCAAATTTTACCTCCTTAAGAATTTTAAAAATAGAAAGACGTCAATCACAATTCATAAAGAGCCATAGTCAACACAACAGGTTCGGTTACGTGTTCATGTTGGTACAACTGCGTGTCACTGTAGTGAACGACAGCTTGGATCGACTACGTTGCGTTAGGTCAGCTTCCTAGTGGATGTACTTTGTATAAATATTTGATTACTTGATGAGTACCTGGGAATTATGTGACAAGTTAAGCACTTGACAAGTACTTGATCAAGAACTTGCCAGGTGTCGTTACCTGACTTGCTGAAGTCAAGCACTTAAACAAGCCGGTCACCTATTTCTTTTGCATTAACAGTTTGTATATAAATATCAAGCCTTCTACACTTATAAAATAAGCTTATTTATTTCTACTGAATTGAACAAGTAAGTAAGTAAGTAAGTTAGACCCGTACCGTTTCTAGTGTAGGGTGAAAAACAAAATCCAATGCACAAATTAAAAAGAAAACTATAGTGTCTTTGGTAAATGTTTATAAGTCGCTGTTGCAAGATAAGCCAATGTACATCGGGTCATTACCCTCCAGTGAACTGGCTTAGGTAGATGCCTGCTAGGTAGATCTTTGGATCTACACAGGGGCCTGTGGTTGTTGTGAACACCCGCAGAAGGCGATTCTGGGCTGCTGGTAGCCACTCGTCTAGTCGTCAGGCCAGCAACCTGTCGTCTGGACGCTAAACCCTTCTTGCTAACGAAAAGAATTGAACAAACTTAGTGGCCGTGCATGTATTTGTTTCTACAAAGGTAGAGTATGGCTGGAGAATACATACAAAATACAAAAGGAAGATAGATGGAATACAGTTTCGTATCATGAAAATATTTTTTGTATGAAACTACTTTTCGAACTCATTCTCACACTGCCAACACCTCCACCTCCCACGACACATTGCCAAAAATATCCATATGTGTACTATGAAAAATTTACGGAAGAATCAGGGTCCTGTTTGCGATAACGTCGTGTCACGCAGCCAATACTTACATTTTACTTGATTTTGGTATTTAGTTCGGAAATGTATGCTCTATGCGAAACGAGCTATTTATAAAAAAAATTGATTGATTGAACTTTAGTACCTGATTTTTCACAGCCATATTTCTAAAAACTCCGAAAGAATGTTCATACACGCATCTTCGGATAGACAGCTCAGCTAGTCAGATCTTTTTCAGACGTTTTATCTATTATGGTTGAGGAAAAAGGTGAAAAAGAAAAGTTAAAGATCACGTTTTCCATCCACTGTATAGGATAAGCTTATTCAGAACCAAAACTCATAAGCATATTATTCACTGCCTACCGGAGTTGAATGTAATTGAGTTGATTCTGGAAAAACTTCTCCATCTGCCAATTGACCGCGCATAAAAGTCTCACACATAAATGTACGTTTTGCTGGCGGTTCGTTTAGTAGCGATGTTAACGATAACACCATGTCAACATCTGCCTCCGGCATTCGACAATTTTGACACTGTATATCAGCATATACTAAAACAAATAAAATGATATTTTCTACATGCACAAGACAAGAGAGTATTCATTACATATCTTTGATGAAAGGTGGAAGACAGTTAAACTGATTTTCTACGCTTGATCATTATTCAAACTTTGCTTAATCAATGTTGTTATTGGTATTGAAGTGTACTTTGTTTGCTTTCGGGAGGCAAACAAAACTTTGAGTTTCTGATATCTTTTTCGAAAGCATCTTTGTCTTATCTCCATAAGTTATGGTCAGAAATTGTAGAATGTTTGTTTATCAAAATTTTAGCCACTAAAAGCTATACTCCCATCAGAGACCGAAACGAATCGAATGATTTGACATTCACTTTAGTTCGATTCGGTTGCTTGCCAAACCGAACCGAATTCGATCTTTGAAACACGAATCAACCGCTCAGTTAAAACAGTTTGATCAAGCTAAGTTACAATGACATTGTATCGGGTGGTCCAAATAAAACCGGATACTTTCATTCGTTGTTTTTGCGGCACTGTCCAGTAGTCCAAAGAATGTATTCTAAGCTCAATCGACAGAGAACTGAATGCTCTACAAAGCCTACTATTTGAATCTCTGATGACATTTTTCTCGTTTAAGCACCATTCAAAATATTGGTAAAAAAAAGGGTGCTGAGTTGTCAGGTTGCGACAAGCTTTTGTCGTCATCTTTTTTGAGATTTTTAGCCCATTGTCTGAGGTTCAATAGTTAATTATCGGCGTAGATAGATAAAGAATTTTAAGCTCTATCAAACTCACTTCTTTACAACTTCATACAATGTTTCTGCTTCGCCAGCTGGTCTTATAATTAGCTCTCAACTAGCTTTTCAATTTTTTCAAATTAAATTAATTTTTTTAATTAATTGTTTCAATTGAGAAACTTTGTTTATATATCAAGCGATGCCGAATTTAATTCTGTGTAAGATAATAAGACTAAAACCCTGGATTCAGAATGTTTTACTGCTTTTATAGTCCAAAAACAGAAGTCTGTGAAAAACAGGTTTACAAGTTAGGTTTTTTGGACTTGTCAGTTTCTTGCACAGAGAAATTTTCCTAGTAGACTTAACTGTAAAATTTCGAAAAATATGTGTGAAGATGCAGAATTTTCCGGTGAATCTTCTGATTTTTTCGAAATTCTTATAGAATCTGTTTTTCGATCAAGACAAATATTTTTCTGTTTTCAGTGTGTCGCAGTTAGGCTCAGCACTCTTCAACATTTTAACTGGTGCTCAAACGAGAAATATGTCATCAGAGATTCAAATAGCAGGAAATAGGTTTTGTAGAGAATTCAATTCTCTATGAATTGAGCTTAGAATAAACTCTTTGAAATGCTGGGCAGTGCCTCAAAAGCAACGAATGAAAGTATTCGATTTTATCTGGATCACCCGATATATAGTAATCAAAGCACCATGTAATAAAATTTTTTCATTTTTTCTATTATAAAACTCAGAAACATATAATCGCGTTAGAAAGACGAATATATAATATCTTTTATCGAGTTATTAAGATATGCAATCAAATTCATTTTCAAAGATAGAATTTTTAAGCACACTAACATATTATGTTTACATTCGATCGAAAATAATAAATGGAAGGACTAATCATGCGAAAAAGTCATTTCCTATTTATATTCTTCTCCTTGTTTGCTTTGTTATATTCATGTTTCAAAGTTCTAGTCACACAAATGATATGTTCTGTTCAAGTGTTCAACTCGAGGCGGTCAATTTTAAACCAACGTTTGAAAACAAAAAAGAGGCAAGCTCTAATTTTCATTGAATCAGATCGAATCGAATTGAACCGATTCAGGATTTCCTGATTCGTTTGGGGCTCTGATTCCGGTGTCGTCAAAATCGGAAAGAAATGGCTGATTAAGCGCAATTAGTCAGCCGATTAATTGAGTGATTATCGCGGGTTTTAAACAGTTTGCTAATTAGTCGGGATTTTCGGGAAAAGTTGTCGATAAATCTCGATTGAGCGCCATTATATTTGAAATCGTGTATTTTTTAGCAAAGTCAACGATTACCTGCAATAATAGCGCTCAATCGAGATTT